GAAAGTCTGAAGCCTGAGCCAGAACAGGCCATTCATATGTAAAAGACACTGCAAACAACTTGGGTGGAGCTGAAAATTGGGGGGATGGGATCTCAGGGAATCACTAGGGTGGGAAGAACTGTATGGGCCAGGTTGATGGGGACTCAGTCATCTCTGTAGTGGGGAAGTCCCAGCCTTTTTGGCTAGGAGAAAGGTTGCTCTAAAGTCCTTGCCCTGATACCAGAAAATTTAGTTCCTTCCCACATGTCCCTGGATTCTTTCAAGCTGCTGACACAGTGCTGGAGCCCAGAAGGAGTGAGTCCAAGTAGGTCCATATGCTGGATATTTAAGAGAAACTTCCTGGGACTCCAGTAGTCTCTGTGTCACTCAGCCACAATCACCACTGGTTTTTATAGCTCAAAGTTACGGGAACTTCTCTTCCTGGCTCAGGAACAGTGGGTTGAGGGGTCTGGTGTGGGGCTGGGACCCTTTCCTCCTCCCTGGAGGCCTCCTTAACTAAGATATCCCTCCTGATTAAAAACACACCACAAGTGGGTGTCAGACCAGCCATTCCACACCTCCACCCTTCCTTCCAGTCTCAATGTGCTTCTTTACTTCTCTAGTTTCAGGATTTCCATTCAGCCAGATTTTTGGCGGTTCTACATGATAGTTGTTTTGTATTTTAGTTGTAATTTTGATGTGGTTGTGGGAGAATCCGAGTACCAGCATTAACCTATGCTGACATCTTGGTTCCCCCACTGAGGATATGTTTATTATTGATTTTAAAGAGGAAGGGAGAGAGAAAAGGAGAGAAACATCAATGTGAGAGAGAAACATTTATCAGTTGCCTCCAGTATGTGCCCCAACCAGGGACTGAACCCACAACCTACCAAGGTATGTGCCTTGACCAGTAATCAAACCCTAAACCTTTGGTGTGCAGGACGATGCTCCAACCAACTGAGCAACACGGCCAGGGCAAAATAGGTATAATTTTTATTCATTCACATGATGGCTATTGTGTTGGCTATTGTCATTTTTTTTGACAATCTAAGGGAAAAGAAGTCAGTGCCCTGACTAAATAGTCAGGTATTGCATGTTTTAAAAATCCTTGCAGCACATCAGTGTGCTGGAGAAAATGGTTATAAGTGCTTCTCTGTGATTCTTTTTTGTTACATTATAGCTACCTTTAGTGTATAGTGAATACAGTATAGCTACTTTTAGATCAATGACAGAGTGAGTATAGATAACTGAAGTGCACAGATTATTCTAAATCCTTCTTTATTGTAAACTTGTGTTGAAGGCACTTCTGCTATCAAGTCTTTTACCAAGGCTTCTAACAAGAAGGAGTTTTATAAATTTGAATTTCATCTACTGACCATACCCACTTTCTCTAGTGGGAGGTTGTGAGCAGAGAAATTGCTAAATGATACCAGAGCAGAGAACACAGAAAACATCACAGTTTCTGATAGTTCAACAAATTCTTTGATTTCAGTCACTGAACATTGAGAGGTAAATGAATACATGTTGCTTGAGACTGAAATGACTTTTCCTTATTGTTTTGTACTGGGTGATGACAGTTCCTTTTCCTTAGCAATCACCACATTTCTTTTATGTTCTTGGAATCCTGGATTTGGAAGCAACATCAGAAGTTCATTATGTTTCATTTCCCACTTTCCAACAGAATTATAACTAAACTGTCCAAGCTGGATGGTTGTCTATTCTGTTCTTTGTTTGGAGGATGGTCATTGGTACATGTTGGAAAGCAGTTGGCTGACAACCTGCTTATGCAAGTTATAGTCTTGATAATACAGGGTGGGGCAAAAGTAGGCTTACAATTTTTTGTATGGAAAATAATCCTATATAATAAAAGGCTAATATGCAAATCGACCGAACGGTGGAACGACCAGTTGCTATGATGTGCACTGACCACCAGGGGGTAGATGCTCAATGCAGGAGCTGAACCATGGTGGTCAGTACACTCCCACAGCAGGGAGCACCTCTCAGCCAGAAGCTGGGCTCATGGCTGGCAAGTGCAGTGGTGGTGGCGGGAGCCTCTCCCACCTCCACAGCAGTGCTAAGGATGTCCGTCTGCTGGTTTAGGCAGTTGGACATCGTCCGAGGGCTCCCAGACTGCAAGAGGGCTCAGGCCGGCCTGAGCCCTCCCTAAGTGCATGAATTTTGTGCACCGGGCCTCTAGTATAATCTGTAATAATAAAAGTGTAATATGCTAATTAGACTGGACATCCTTCCAGACGTCCTTCCAGATGACCTTCCAGACGAAGCTGGGGCTGCGAGGGAAGCTCGGATCCCGGGTGCCGGAAGGAAGCCCCAGGTGCCAGAGGGAAGCCGGTGCCGGCAGCCGGGGGAAGGAAGGCCTATTCTTACATGAATTTTATGCATCAGGCCTCAGTAATAATAATACAAGAATAAACTCTGTTTTGTGTACTCACAACTAAAAATCTACTTTTTTGTTGTTGGTAATCCCCCGAGGATATTTTTCCACTGATTTTTAGAGAGAGTGGAAAGGACTCTCTCTAGCATCGACGTGAGAGAGAAACATTGATCTGAGACACATCAATTGGTTGCCACCCACATACGCTCTGACCAGGGCTAGGGATCGAGCCAGCAAATGAGGTATGTGCCCTTGACAAGAATTGAACCTGGGACAGTTTAGTCTATTGACCAACATTCTATCCACTTAGCCAAACTGGCTAGGGCTGTAAATCTACTTTTGATCCACCCTGTATTATTTGTTCACTTAGCAGCAGCATAGAACATGCACACATATATGAATGTAATCTGCTTAGCAATCTGATGTTCTAAAATGCAAGTGATGAGAATACATAGAAAGGACAATTTCCTTTTGAAAACAATACTTTTCATCTATCAGAAATTTGTCATCAAATGTTTGGCACAGAGCCTCGCACAGAGTAGGCCCATTATAAATGTTTGCATTAGTGAAAACAACACAAAAAAACAAACAGCTAGAGAAATAATGCTGCCTACGAGGAGAGTGGGTAACTGTTCTTTGCTTTGTGTATTCCCAGAGTTCTTTTCACCTATGGTTGCTGTATGAGAAAAGAGTTCTGGAATCAAATAATTTTGAAAAATACTGGATCTTTCTATCTCCTTTTTGGAGTTGTGATGTACATTAGCACATTAAGCATTTTCAGAAGTCACCTGTCTATATCTGATAAACTCAGTATTTCCCAAGTCTATTTGCACAGAAACTATTAACAACCCACACTTTAGGAAATATGCTCTTTAGGGTTAATTGTTCACAGTTTTTTGCCTGAGGGAATGACTATGTCTTACTCATTTTCTATGTATATTCTATATGCTAACTAGTATATACAGGGACAATACAGATTATGCAGGTAGAATGAAAATGGCCTGTATGAGGTTGGATAAGATGACACCAACACTGACCAAGAAAGCTGGGTAGGGGAGCTGTGTCTTGAATGTAAAGATGAACAGGGTCATGGTTGGAATCAGAATGAAAGAGAGTGGTAAAATAGACAGTAAGTTCTGAATGCAAAGAACATGTTTTTAACCTGAGCATAAGATTGGAGCTTCTGACACTGCTATTGAAGACCCTCAGTCCATCTTCCTTGATAATTACAATGTCCCTCTTAAGTCACCTATGTTGTCAAGCCTTACAGACAGAGTAAGCACTGACAACCAAGGTAGTACCTCATTCATACTTAATGCTTATTATCAAATTGTTATAGAAATTTCATTCTTAAAACTACAGCCAAGTGATTATTTGGAAATAAGAGATTAATTGGAAAAACTATCTGGAACCTACACATATTTGCATTTAGGGACTTTAAATAATGTTTTGTTCTCCCACCTTACTACTGTAAGTCTTATAGCTCCTGGATGTGTCAGGGTAGTGTCACCAAGGATTGACAAAGAGTGGAACCCCAGAGAGACCCTGAAAATGAAACTAAAAACAAGGGAGGACCTAATAGTAAACACAGGCCAAAAACTCTAACACCCCAGGAAGGTTTGACTATGGTTCTCAGATATCCAAGGGAAATGCTATTAGAAAGTCTGTTTCCTACAGGTCTGAATGTGTGCCTCTCATTGGCTGCTTTAGGATTTGCTCCAAATTGTCACAGGAAATTGAAATGAGATAGAAATCAGCAGTGTTTACAGTGCCTTGTGTTGGCATTATACACATTGTGAAAAAAATAGTACATCGCATATCCAAAGACAGAGATCAATATGCTTGAAATTATTCATTTTGACCACATTTACTTGAAAAATGGCATTTAGCTCTCAAAGTTATTGAAGAATTGTAGGTTGAATAACTATCAAAAGTTGTTTAAAAACTTTCCTTTTATATGACTATGAGAAGTTGGACAACATGAGCATTTTAAAGTTGAGCATAGCTTAAGTAATGGGCATATAGTTATCTTCGTCTGCATATCTAAATCTCAGTAATAACTGTCTTTTTTCTATTATTTTTCTATTATTATGAAGGGTTACATTTTTGTCTCAACTAGATGTAGAAGGGGTCTAAAGGATATAATTATATTCATGTTATGATACAGCTATTTTTCTTCTGTTGTCACCCCAGTGAACATCATGTACATATTATGGCATCAGTTACTAAAAAACATATTTGTTGCTGAAATCATATGCTGACTTTTATTGCTATCAAGGAATATTATATTCAGAAGGAAAAAAAGGGTGCTCCTTTTCCACATGTTGCTGCATTCTCTCTATTATAAAAATAAAGGGATATTACCTCTGAGCCTATTGATACATCAAGTAATAAATGTGACAGTTAATAGTTCTATTTTCCTTACCCCATCTTCCTGCACAACTGCAACATAACATGTTTCTTACTAGTAACAGATGCTGGAGACCTTCCTTTGAAATTCCTGTGGAGAAGCTGCCCTGTTGATTGCATTAGACAGGAAGTGATTTCATGCAGATGTTGACTTGCTGGTGCATTGTAGTAATTGCTGTTCTGCTGACCCCTTGCTGAGTGCAATGCTTTTCTCTTGTAGGTGATGTGCCTTCAGGACTTTTTTGGTGACGATGACATTTTTATTGCATGTGGACCAGAGAAGTTCCGTTACCAGGATGATTTCTTGCTAGATGAAAGTGGTAAGGAAAAAAAAAAGTTCAAAACCAGGGGAAATTTGAGGCAGCTTTCTAAAATGAGCTGCACCAGGCCAAGATCATGTCAACTCTAAAGCTACCAAATCAGTTTCAGATCCTCATCCAGTATGTCTTTTCCATATCTTGAATTTCTTTGATTTTTTATATAGAAAACAGATGAAATGATAATTGGAAAGGTTACATAATTTAGAAGGGTCAATGATGAATGGCTAATTTATAACCACTTAATAACTAAAATGATGTTCTATAAAAATCATGGTGTGGATTTCTACATTTTAACTGTATATTTTCCTCAAAATTTATATTTGAGATATTTATGATCATAAAATTATTGAGTATGTTTCTAGGCTTGTCTTTCAGGTGACTTCCTTTAGTTCCTAACTAGGAAAGTGACTTGGTGCCCCCCCTTTTTTAAACATTTCAGAAGTTTATGTCATCACCATCTGCAAGGGTTAAAAAAAAAGAGTAGTGTGGCTTACTTCCATTAAAAATGAAATGTAAAAAAGGGACCGTTGGTAAACAGGGAAAGACACATCTTAGGAAATGAATATCCAAGGTTGTGACTCAAGAATGATGTTTTTTTTAGTATTATAAATCATCTCAGAACCTTAACAGCATCATGGGAAAAGTTATTAAAGAGGCCTTTCCATGATAATATTACTTCTAATTTAATTAGGGAAATATTACATACTTATTGACAATTCAAATTCTAGCTAGTTGGAAATGATTTTTGAAGTAAATGAATTTTTTGCCTAGAAAAATTCAATTAAGCAAATTAGTAAGCTTTTAGCAAAATGGATGGGAAATACATGAGCACCAACATAATATGATGAGTGATGTAATATTTCTGCTCTAACACTGCTGATGTGTATTCACATAGAGTATCTATATTATATGCATATATACATATCAGTTACATGCATTTAAACATATGTAATTATTTCATCATTTAAAAGTGATGTAGATGTGTAGGGAGGGATAAGAATAAGAAAGGTTACCTCTTTATTGTGAAAATTTGAAATGCCCAATAAAAGTATATATAGAGGTGACATTTGAAAGATTGAAGTTATTTTGGTTCAAATTTTTTAGCTGGAAGAGTGGTTTGGTACCTCTTTTCTTATAAATAAGTTTTCTTTGCTAAATATGTTCTGTCATTATCTCTAATAGGCATGCCCTTTGGGGGCAAAGATTTGGGGAGAGACCTCTACCCATCCCATCCCTTCTTCAGGCAGCTTTGCCATTGTGTGGAACAAATGAATGTTAGGGGTCAGGCAGAAGAGCTGACAGCATAGTTTTGAAAAAAAAATAAACTGTCTTGACTTTCAATTTAAAGAAAATAGCTGCTTCTAATAGAATGGTCTGAGAGACCAGATGCATTCTGAAATGAAAGTTTCATTTGTTGCTTTGATATAGAAAACAACCTATCAGACTGGAACTGGAATAGAGCTCAGTTTCACATCAGCAGAGTTGGCCTGGGGTTCCCAAGCCCCCAGTCTCTTTCTACCCCATGTTAGACTCCTTTCTCATTAAAAAGGATTCATACAGATCTCTCCCTATCTCTATTTGTGTATCTATGTCTGTCTATCTATCTATCTATCTATCTATCTATCTATCTATCATCTATTCGTCTATCTATCTATCTATCTACCTATCCATCTAAGTATTTATCTATCTCTCTATCGGCACAGCAGTGCACATCACACATGCATCAGGACAACTTGCCCATAATTTGTGGTTTGGCCCTTTGCTGGCCCACTTCAAACTGTTTGAGAGAGAAAGTGAGAACTTCACATCTTTTCTCCTGATGAATATACCCTATTTCTTGATTTGAAATATATTTGCTGAGTAACTGTGTTCTCCACCATCCTAAAAGAAGCTTGTGGATTGGGGAGGGGGAGAGAATCTAAATTAAAATTTTATTTTCTTGGATGAACTTAACCCTGAAACTAAAATCACATGTTGACAACTGCAATTTCCCTGTTGCTTGTACGGCATGTTTTAATGCTAATATATTAAAATTTGAATCTTCTAGAAAGTGCTCTGAGCATAATTTAGCCTAGCTTATATGTACTCGCTAAATGGCATTTGCACATTGAGGCTTCATTTGGCCCGTTCCGAGTAGCTTCCTGTACTGCTGCTGATACTGACATCTTCAGAATTAATACTTACCCAGTACTGTGGTTGATCTAATGGTGCCAAGAAGTGGCCTTTTGCTGCAAGGCAGTACTTTTATTTTATCTTTCAAAATTAACCCGGCTCCCAGTGTGTTCAGGATTAGCAACAGTACATCCCCCTAATTACTGCTGGAAAAGTTCCTGGAAGCGGCTCTTAAGGTCTAACCAGTGAGAAGTTTACCATTAGATACTTGTATTTCATGGGGCTATACTAGAGCCAGAGCAATATTAGAAACTGTAAGGAGCCTCCTTCCTCCCCTAAGTTTTCACCTGGAAAAAAACAAAAACAAAACAAAACAAAACAAAAAACAAACAACCCACAAAAACACCTTCCTGTTTCCAGCTCAAAATATAACTGTTTTAGCGATATCATCATCAATGAGTGGAGTCTCAGCACCTTCAAAAATGGTGGATACAGTTCTATATAGAAAGACAGATAGGCCAAAAGATCCTTCTCCAGCATGGCTTGCTGTCTAATTTAGAATGATGAAATATCATCCAGGAAAATGCCAAATTGGAGACAAGAAGCTTAACCTGGTTGTGCCTATATATTGACGATAAGTTGACAAATTTTTTATTTGTTGCCATTAAAAAGTGGTAAGATTTTGTTGAGAAATGCTTGCCTCATACCTGGGAGGGACAACTCCTTGGTGATGAGTCTGTCACAGGATGTCAACTTTTGTCGACCCAACCCCCAGCCTCAACACTGATGTCTCCAAATTTGCTTGGCCAATTTCTTCACCCACTCACCTCAACCCTACCAGGCCTAAATATCTGTCATCCTCTTTTGTTTTAACTAATTTATTAGTGCTCTTGATTCTGATGTTAATAGGCATTGCTTTAAATATACATATTTTTGCTTAAATGTTTAAGTTTCCTAGGGCTGGTGTAACAAAGTTCCACAAACTGAGGGCTTAAAACAATAGAAATTCATTCTGGAACAATTCTGGAGGCCAAAAGTTAAAAATCAAAGTATGGGAAACACTATGCCTCCACAGAGTCTGGTTTCCGGTGGTTGCCAGCAATCCTTGGCATCCCTGGGTTTGTCCCAGCATCACTCTGATCTCTGCCTCCATTTTCACGAGGCCTCTCTCTGTGTACAAAATTGCTTCTTCTTATAAGGACACCAGTTATTGAATTAGGGTCCACCCTAATCCAGCCTGACCTCATTATAACATGATGACATCTACAAAGACCCTATTTCTAAGTAAGGTCACATTTATAGGCCTCAACATAACTTTGGGAAAGACACAATTTATTCCACCACAAATGTTGTTTGAACTTGTCCAAACTTTATTTGAACTTGAGTTACAAGTAAACTAATTTCTATTTGTTTGCTTTGACCTGTCTTTAGATTTGCACAGCTATAGCTTTATATTCATTAGTAGAATACATAAACAACAGATCTGTGACAAGGTTGCCTCTCATCTGACCTTTTATAGGTAGTATCACCTGATTGATCAGAGGAATGAATGCTGTGGGCGGTCTGAGCCCCTTTGACTAAGATGAAAATATATGGTCTGAATGCTAGAGGTGGTTGTATTTTTAATTGAGTTGCCTTGTCCAAAAGGTACTGATTTCCAGGTCTTTGTCAAATGTGCTGGAGGAGACCTCTGTTAGAATTGGCTCTTAATGTCTCTGAAGGGAGGGGTTGTTTGTTTGATGAGAGTCATAGCACAGGGTTCTGGTTTGGGTTCTGTATCATTCAGCATTGTTAGAAATGCCCACTCGAAAAGTTGATGGTGTGTGGATGAAGTCATATGGGAGGGAAGCTAATGCAGCAGAAGATAAGATGAGAATTCACAAGGATTTTTATAGGAGGTAGTTTCTAAGAAGATAAAACTGAATTGGTACAAACAAAAAGTAATGCTCTGGGGATTTTTATTTTTTTAAAAAGCCAGTTCTACAAGCTTGGTTAACATCAATGTAGTTTTAACAGTAGCACATATGACAATTAACTTTAGTTCACTGCAGGCTTATTATGGCTCATTTACTGTATGTAGTATAAGTATATTATCCTATATAATAAAAGGCTAATATGCAAATCGACTGAATGGCAGAATGACACACTGACCACCAGGGGACAGACAGACACTCAATGCAGAAACTGCCCCCTGGTGGTCAGTGCGCTCCCACAGGGGCAGTACCACTCAGCCAGAAACCGGGCTCATGGCTGGCAAGCACAGCAGCAGTAGTGGGAGCCTCTCCCGCCTCCAAGGCAGCGCTACAGATGTTCAAATGCTGGCTTAGGCCCACTCCCCATGGGGACATCCCCTGAGGGCTCCTGGACTGTGAGAAGGTGCAGGCTGGGCTGAGGGACCCTCCCTCCACCAGCCAGTGCATGAATTTCGTGAATGTCAATAAAAATTCACAAAACTGGTATAGAAGTATAGAAGAAATTTAAATAATTGAACTCTCACATGATGTTTTTTTGTAAGTTTGTGACATTTATGCTTCTGAAATTATGAAAGTTTAAAACTGCTCTAAGACTTTTTGGCTACTCTATGTGTCCACGTGTGTGTGTGTGTGTGTGTGTGTGTCCACGTGTGTGTGTGTGCATGTGTGTGTGCATAGTGTCTCTGCAGAACGCCAATCCAGTTTCTCTCTGCACCAGATAGACCAGCCGTGGGCAAACTACAGCCCGCGGGCCGGATCTGGCCCGTTTGAAATGAATAAAACTAAAAAAAAAAAAAAGACCATACCCTTTTATGTAATGATGTTTACTTTGAATTTATATTAGTTCACACAAACACTCCATCCATGCTTTTGTTCCGGCCCTCCAGTCCAGTTTAAGAACCCATTGTGGCCCTC